GAATTAAAAACCAATGATGAATCATAAAACATAAAAATGATAAATTGGACTTTATCAAAATAAAAAAAATTATACATCAAGGAACAGTCACAAGAGGGTGCAAGACAACATGCAACCTGGTAGGATATTTGCAATCATTTATCTGCTAAAGACCTGCAGTCCAGAATAGGCAGAGACCTCCTGCCAATTGACAACAACAAAAGATGCAACTAAACAGCACTGACTCAATACCAGGGATGATTAACTATTTGATTAAATATAATGTCTTTTTCCTCATACTAATATTTCTCTTCCTAGAGTTTTAAAACTATTTAATAATAATAGCAATGTACTTGTGGGGTTCATATATATACAAATAAAATATATGACAACAAAAGCACCAAGACTAGGATGGGCTATATAATACTACTTAAACCAACTATAATCATTCACAAATTATAAGCAACAATAAAATAAAATGATAAAATATTAAGTCAAATGAAAGTAGGAGGAAAAAAGAACAAGAGCATGAAGAACAAATAGTACACCCAAAGAGCAAGATGCCAGGTCATCACTCCATCAATAAATACATTAAATTAGAACTCTACTTATAGTATGCATACATTTTATGAGACTGGTTAAAAGAAGAAGGATAGAAAACATACCTTGCTGACAGTAACCAAAAGTTAAAAGGTAACAGTGCTAAAAGAATTAATGACCTAATAAATAATCCATTTTCTCCATTTTATTTATAGATTCAAGGTAATCTCAAATCATAGTGACCAATTTCCCCCCAAGAATTAACAAGAGTTCAGATATCAACTCATTTGTAAATGACTAGTGACTGAATGATCTTCAGTAAGTGCTAGAAGAGTTGGGTTTCAATGTGAAAATCTGTGAATTTCAATCTGTGCTTTCTACTTCATGGAAAAAAAACACGCAAATGGATCATGGTCCTAAAACTATCACTGTGTAGACAAAATCCTTGTGATGCTAGATTAGGCAAGGATACTTTAGATGTAACACCAAAAACTGTCTATAGAGGATGTGGCAATACATTGTACTTCACTGAGCATCTCTTCAGAAGATATCATCAGGGGACAGAAAAACAATTTGGAGACAGGAAAATTTTGTAAGCCAGGTATGTTATAAAGGACCTGTATCTAGACTGCATAAATGATGCTCAAAACTCAAGAAGAAGACAATCTGACAAGGAAGAGAAAAACGTGAATACTTTCTCCCAAGAAAATAAATGGAGGACAAAGAATCTCAATTGAATAAATGCTCGATATCAGTAGATGTTAGTTAGGGAGATAGAAAATTAGAAACTATAGTGAGACATCAGAACACAAATTAAAATAGTTAAAAGTAAAAAGTGACTATAAATTAACAGAAGTGCTTAAGAAGGTGGTTTTATACTATAAATATGTACACAGATATAGCTAATGAATATTTTAATGTTTATTTTGAAAAAGTCTTCACTATGGAATGAAAGCAAAAGGATCTCATTACATCATATAGAAGTCCAATATGTAAGCAAATAAACTGTCTTTTTTTCCCTTGGGGGTTGGGCTATTTTGAGATAGTCTCACTATGTGTCTGTGATGTCTGATTATGGTTGTCAGCTTGATATACCTGAGAAGAGGGAACCTCAGCTGAGCAGCTCCCTCCATGAATAATCTGGCCTGCCTACAAAGCTGAGACCACTTTCTTGATTGAAAACTGATATAAAAGGCTCCAGCCTACTGTGGGAGGTACCATCTGTAGGCAGATGGGCCTGGGCTGTAAGAGAAACATAGTGAACTAAGCCTGGGAGCAAGCCAGCGAGTGACTCTCCCTTTCCTTGAGATGGGGTTCTCCTAGTACCCTAGGCTGACCACGGACTCTTAGTGATCTTTGTGCCTTTGCCTACTGAGTGCTGAGGTTATATGTGAGCCACTATAGCAGGTTCCCCTTGATTATTTTATTCCTTTAAGTTTGTATCTAGGAACGTGCAAGAAACGGTTTGTAGCAACGGTAAATTTGCAGAATTTTGTTAAATGGAATCAAACTTAAAATTTAAATAAATATATACAAAGATCAATTCTACTAAAGACAAAGGAACACAAAGTCGAATGTTCACCAATACTTATTTTATATTGCCTCTGTGTGAGTTCATAAATGTGTACTGAACCTAGATGATGTATGTGGTGGTTTGAAAGAAAATGGTACCCAAAGGGAGTGGCACCATGAGGAGGGGACGCCTCATTGGAGTAGGTGTCATCTTGTAGGAGGAAGTGTGTCACTGTGGAGGCAGGCTTTGAAATCTCATATATGTTCAGACCATGTCCAGTGAGTTCAGACCACTTCCTGTTGCTTGCACTATGTCTGCCTGCATGCCACCATGTCTCACCATGATGATAATGGACTAAATCTCTGAAAATGTAAACCACCCAATTAAATGTTTTTCCTTTACAAGAGTTGCTGTGGACATGATGTTTATTCATAGCAACTGAAATCATAACTAAGATAGAAGTTGGTTCCAGGGACTGGGGTATTGTTTTAATAGACCTGATCATGTTTTTGTTTGAAGAAATTTGGACTCTATTAGTATGGGTTAGGAAAGCTGGGAAATGCTTTAAGAGCTTGTAATGGGCCATACAAGTAGGAGCATGGAAGACAGTGGTGCTGATTATGATTTGAATTGTGGGGGGCTGGTTCAAGAGCTTTCAGAGGAGAAGAATATTAGTATGTTGCCTAGAAATTATTCTTGTGATATATTGGTGAAGAATATGGCTGTTTTTGTCCTTGTCTGAAGAGTTTGCTCGAGGCTAAAGTGAAGAGTTTGGATTAATTCTGTTGGCAGAAGAAATCTCAAAACAGACTGGTATAGACTCTCTCATATAGTTATTAGTGGTAACTCTGATAAAGATTTATAATGAAAAGGAACAAGCTGAGCAAATGAAAATACAGAAGGTACACATTGAGACAAGGGGTACCAGGGAGTAGAACAAAGCTAAATCCAGTGTTCAAGGAGAGAAATGGATTAAGACATGGAATAATGGAATAAAGGAAATGGTGACCTCAGGGTAAGATCCCACCTACCTAAGTTTCTAATTTGTAAAAAAAAATAATAATAATAAAATAAAGCTTAGAGCGGGGTGTGGTGGGGTACATCTTTAATCCCAGCACTTGGAAGGCAGAGACTGGTGGATCTCTGAGTGTGAGGCCAACTTGGTCTACAGAGCAAGTTCCAGAACAGCCAGTGAAGGAAATCATTGAAAACAGAAATGGTGAAGATATAACTAGAAAGGAGGTCATGTTCAGCCCCAGCAAGCAGCAGAACGTGATAGCTTTGGTTATATGGTTCTGGCTTTAGAGTTAAAGACAGAAGAAAGAGGCTATAGAGCTTGCCTGAGACTAAGGGAAGCCGCTAAGGCCAGGCATGTGTCAGGGGTGTCCCTGAATGGAAGCCTAGAAAGGCCATTTCGCGAAGCTGTGAAGTTGAAGCCTGGATTGCCCTGGAGATCCCAATATGCTGGAGATGCCAGAGCCGTGGGATATCTGTTGAAGAAAGCTGCTAACAAAGAGTGAAACCAGTCCAAGAGAAAGAAGTGTGTTGGAGTCAAGAAAACTGAAAGGAGTTGGAGATCTGAGGAAAGCTTTGACATCAGACATGAAGATACAGAGTTTGGAGTTTTCCCAGCTGGTTTTCAATCTTGCTTTGGTCCAGTATTTCCTCACTATGCTCCCATACCTGTTTTAGAATGATAATATATATTCTGTGCCATTATATGTTGGAAGTATGTGATCTGTATTTTGATTTTAATTTTATAAGGGAATACATTTAAGAAACTACATGAATCTAAGAAAAGACTTTGAATTTAGACTTGTAAATAAATTTGAAACTATTATAGACTCTGGGACTTTTGAAGTTGAACAAAATGCATTTTTGCATTATGATACAGCTACAAGGATTTGGGGGCCGGGGAATGGAATGTGGTGGTTTGGAAGAAAATGGCCCCCAAAGAGAGTGGCACTATTAGGAGGTGTGGTTTTGTTGGAGGAAGTGTGTCACTGTGGAGGTGGGCTTCGAGGTTTTATATATGCTTAAGCCAAGTCAATGACACAGACTTTGGCCTTTTGCCTGATTTTCAGATGTAGGGCTTAGGTCCACCACCAGACATGCCATCATGCTGCACTGTGGTGATGATGATAGTGATGATGATGATGATGATGATGATGATGATGATAGTGATGACAACCAATGATGTGGAAGTGTAAAACAGAGTTCCTTCTCAAGTTGGTTTGGGCATGGTGCTTCATCACAGCAACAGTAACACTAAGTAAACAGGGTTCCAGTTCCAGTGCTAAGCAAGAAACTACCTGCAGCTGATACACCCTGGCAAAAGGAAGACAGGTTTTCTCTAGTGGGGTCTCACTGGGTAGACCAACTGCACGCAGTGCAGGCTCTATGCCAGGAGTAGCTGTCAACACAAAACAAACCCAATGGTAATTTTTGTGGGCTGTTTTGACATTTTTTTTTGTCTTTGTTTCTGATTTTTTTTTTTAAATTTTGCTATACCAAAAACATAAGGTTGGATGAGTAGGGAGGTGGAGAGGATCTGGGAGGAACTGGGGGATGGAAAAACATTATCAAAATATATTGTATGAAAATTTTTCTCAATAAAATAAAAACGGATTTTTAAATCAAACAGAAACATAAAAGAATCAAATTGTCTGTGAGAAACTTTATGTCAATCAAACCTGCCAAATGTGTTTTGTCAGCTGCTGGTCTCAGAAGTTAGTTTTGTGTGTCTCATTTACACTTCCTCATTCTGGACATCGAGTCCCCTTTTCTTCTGTTTTGCCACTCTAAGTTGTTTCCGAAAAGTTTCAACATGCAGTGAATTTCAGAAATTTGAAATCATTTTGCAACCGGCTTATTTTCAGACTGCTCAGCAAACAGCTCTAGGCATTAACAGAGAGTGCACACAAGCAAGCACTCTGATTCTCCCGTGTCTTCGGATCCAGCCACTCACCTCTTGGGAAAGCTGTCTTATTAGGTCCTTTTGATGGTCCAGATCTTTTAAAATTAATGAATTTTGTTTTTCTAACTGAAGAACTCTTCTTGCCAAGTGGACGCTAGGTGAATAAAATGAAAAGTATTCATGCATATAAAAGTAGAATAAAAGCTACCTACACTCAATAGATAACTGTGTGCTAGAAAACCCACGCATCATTTCCTAATAACATATATAGCAACAGAGAAAACGACAATACAAAGTTATAAAAAACACTGGAAGAGCAATACTTCACCATCTCTGAAAGTAACAACCCTAATTTCCGCACGATAATTGTAATATACCGATTATAGTAATCTTGGTTTATTACATTATGCTACTAGCTTGACCGAAAAAGCTATCATTTTTAACAAGTTTCCCAGTCACAAATCAGCCAGGAAATTAGTTGAATATTATGCGCAATAAATTTACATTTGGGTAAGTGTTTACACAGACCAATATTATGAATTTTATAAAAAAATATAATCAAACGGGTTTCCTATTGTAAAGGGAGGTGAAAGAGATGTGCAAAATAGGACGAATAACTACAGTACAGGCTACACTAAAAGAAGTTCCCTTCCTTCCAATGATTTGTATTACCACAACACACACCCCCTCTCTTGACAGGGTCTTAATCTGTAGCCTAGGCCAGCCTCAATTCATGATCCCCTTACATTAATTAGTCCAAGTCTTGGGATTATAGGCATATGCCATTATGCTCTGAAGACCAACACATTCCAATTTAAAGAAACTATTCTTAAGGAAAAATGCTTCATCTATTTAAATAATTCTAAAAAATGCTTCGTATATTTAAATAATGACTCAATGAAAACAATACAGTTTTTTAAAGTACTAGTAACGCTGAAAACCATGTTCTTAAGAACTACTCTGCATTTTCATAGTCTATATTAGTTTAGTTATCAATTTAACCTATAAATGTAGAATTAATGGAATCCAAATGGACAGAACGTTTCACAATGATAAGATGGGTCTCTTTCTTTTGTTTTCTAAATTTCTAACAAATAACATCAGAGAAAAGAATGAGCCCTATTGTGTTGTATGATCTTTTTTTTGGGGGGGGGCACCACTCAGCTCCCAAATACATCACACAGAGGCTTATTTGTACTTAGAAATGCCTGGCTTTTGCTTGGTTTGTTTCTAGTCAGCTTTTCTTAACTTAAATTATCCCATCTATCTTTGGCCTCGGGGCTTTGATCTTTCTCTATTCCTGTATACCTTTCCTCTTCTTACTCTGTATGGCTATGAGGCTGGGAGGCTGGCTCCTGACGTCCTCCTCCCCTTATTCTCTTGTTGCTCTTCTTCCTCATGTTTTCTTCTGCTTATTCTCTCTGCCTGCCAGTCCCACCTATCCTTGCTCCTGCCTCACTATTGGCCGTTCAGCTCTTTATTAGACCATCAGGTGTTTTAGACAGGAAAAGAACCACAGCTTCATGGAGTTAAACAAAAGCAGCGTAAACTAAAGCAACACACCTTTACATTATTAAACAAACATTCCAATAAATAAACAAAAGTAACACACCTTAAAATAATATTCCCAACACTATTGTACGTATATTTCTCAACCAAAGACAAAGGAGTTCACATCAGACTCTGCTAAATATCACCCAACATACGTATGTGTAAGAACTGCCCACCCAAGTAAAAAATACAAGTTCCAATACATGCAACCAGAAAATCCTGCCTGCTATTTCCAAATAGTTGCTACTCAAACAAAAACATTACTTCAGATTTTCAAGTTTTATCATATTAGGGAGCTAATTTTATTTTTTTGGGATTCATACTTTTATTTTTTTATTTTTTTTTAAATATAATTTTTTTATTGAAAAAAAAAAATTTC